TTAATCCTTCGTCGGAGTAAAAGTGAAACGTCAGTTAGTTACTTCACCTGCTTTTTTACGGCGTTTAATTTATCTTTTTACACAACTGTTTCTCAAACTAACCTGTTCGATATACACTCGAATCTCTATTAAACGGTCACCTTCGGGAAAGAACAAATGGCCGCTTAATAGAGGTTGACCGTTTAATAGAGGTCATGTTTTACAATAAATATACATAAGAATTGAATTCATGAGTGACCGCTTAATCGAGGGTGTCCATTATCATAGAGGTTTGACTGCATGAAATATGGTACTAAAACATCTATTTGATTCATATTTATACTGTATCTTTGAAATCGAAGAACCACTTGATAATATTGTGTGTTGGCTGAGTTTAAAGTGTGTCTACGTTATGTAATATATAACAATGGCGACTAAAAACGATTRCCAAATTAAAAGATTAATGTTGATGTAAACCACTTTGTGGCGGGATGTATTTATGGCCGACTATTCACACGTCAAATGCAATCATAACTGCATTTAAATTTTTAGTACATAAAGATCTTTTAATCGATGTTAATTCGTTTCGTCCGCATTGTTTGCCTGTTTTTGCTATTCAGTTTCGTGCCTTTTAAGCAAATGAACGGCCATAAGGGCCATTACCCACAACCCCTTTGGGTGGTGCATTTATCGAAGCCCCACTATAACCCATACTTCGCTATATTAGCTGCATATATATCAATGTATATATAATTTCACAATCTGTTATCCCAGGTTGACGATAAATGGTTAGAAGCTGTTGGTGGTCCAAAAAATAGTGTAATTAAGAAGGAAAGGTTGCTTTTAATGATACCAATTGAAGTAAAAACAGCTGTTACTTATACATCATTGCTACACCTGCTGAATTGAAAGTCTAATTTATCGTTTTTTGATTGATAAAGCAATATCTCGGGCACTGTATATAATTTTTATCGCTTGAAGGAAATTTGAGTATTGCGGCTTTGAATTGCAGAAGAGAGCGCTCAAGAGTTCTGGTCAAATTAGCTCAATATTGAGTGAAATGCTAAAACGTCAAAACATGAAAGTAATCTTGAAATGTTTATATAAATTACTTAAAAAACTAAAATACACTGTTATTGAGAGCATTTGCTTTGATTGAGAGCATTTGCTATAGCGTGGTGTCCCAAAATACAAACCGAAAAATTTCTAAAATTCKAAAAAATATAAAAGAAAGAAAAAGAAATCAAAAGTCGCCATTTCTAGAAGGAGAAAAAACTTCTTGCGTTTAATGAATTACATGTATGTGAACGTTTGCAACGATGTAAACAAAGATAGCAGGCGATTTGTTTATGGCGGGAAATCCGTAAGGCGCGCGCGTGATATATTTTGACTTAGAATTAATGGTGTTATTCTTGTTTACCTAAAATAATATTATACTTGTTAATTTGCCCGATTCGAAAAGGAATTCACAAAAGTTGTTATAGATAATCGTTGTATTCTTAAAATTACAATTTAGCGCTTTAATCAATTTAAGAAATGTAACTTCTAGTGAGTTCAATCGACATCGAATTAAAGCGAAAATTGTGCAAAGCAAGAACACGTCACTTCTGATTTCAACTTTGGGGGCAATATAATATCTCCAAAATGGCAATAGATATTATAAATGTTGGCAAAGTCGTTCTTAATCATTCTGTTATGGCAATGTCAGTTAGAAATGTAAACACTCCCGAATGAAGGCCACGCAAAAACGCACAAAAATGGATATATCCCCAAGGATTCGCAATAGTACAGGATTGTTTGACATAATTTTTTCGATTTTAACGACGATTCGTAAAAGTGCAGTTGTTTGTGAATAGATTATTCTGTTATTCTCAAACACATTGCAAGAAATTTGAGCATGAATTTAACGCTCTTTTGTTCACCAAAAGTGATATTTTTTAAAGTAATTTTTAAGCATTTCAGTAATTCAAACTCTCGGATTTCAAAGTACGCAAAATATACATTAAACTATACAATAATAAGAAAAACAAATACCAATTTACTACAAATAGTTGCAGAAAATTATTTGTCTTACACAGATTATAAGAACAGAGTAGCATCATTTTTTGTGATTTTGAAAACGGAACCTGGCTTAACAATTAACAAGATAATACAAGCAAGTAAAAAAAATCGCAATTTGAAGATAACTGCGCACAATCTAGTAATTKCTATTTTCAACGAMACGATTTTTAATACGCGAATCTTTACTAAGGGCCAATAGCTTTAAAACATAGAACAACAACGAAAGAAAATACAACGAAAACATGTAAACACCTACCTCATCAGAATTCAATGGCTTTTCTCCAACTTACTTCTGAATGAACACGAGTCAGGGTTGAATGGCAAATTAAATACCCGGGAGATCGAAGCAAGTATCTAGAACAAATGCAGAACATCAATTGCTCTTTTATGACTAGAGGTTGACCAATAGGAGAAAGAGAAACAAGATTGATAGTGTCATCCGTACTCTTGGATTCTCAGCGGGGTTTAATGTGTGTGTGTGTTTTATAAAATATGAATGTGGAAGTGAATGGATGGATGGATGGATGGATGAATGAATAAAAGGATGAAAAAGCTGAAAATTAAATGGGAAACTGAATAAATGAATGCATGAACAGAGAGATGGATAGATTGAAATGAATTCATAGACAAAATATTGGACAAATGAATGGAAGAATAAATTAAAAACTGAGAATTGAATAAATGGATGGATGAAAGAATAAAYACTGAAATAAACTCATGGATCCACGAATTAATAACCAAATATTAAAAGGCTGGAAAAATAAGTCTGAATTTGTAAACAAAGAAAATGAACTCAGAAGCAGGTAAAATGACAATTAATTCCAACACAAATCAACATACAAGGCAAATTTATTTAAAATTTGTTTGCATTACACCAGCTAGTATTTCCACGATATTTTTAGGATGAAGTTATATGCCTTTTGCGCGTGTGTAGACCGTCCTATCAACCGCTAATCACACGTAAGCTAATCTGAGCTTGAAATCCTAGTTTATGATATGAAAGCAATAAAGACTSAAAATTAAGGCAATTTACATCAACTGGCGAAATCTAGTTTTGCGTGTAAGATATGACATCGTAATTAWACTATCGACATTCTCGCCAAAGGCTTCCAAATGAAGCAAGTTTTAATTTGTTTATTCCAAGCTAGTGTTTTGACGAAATACTTACTTTAAGGGTATCAACGCGCACTTTGAAAACATGATACGCAAATAAATTCCGTCTCTCGCCGTAGGTTTCCTTGGAGACGACAAAACAAAATAAACCTCATAATAAGCCTCGTGTTCATATAATCGGGCAGGTTTTCTAATAAATTGTTGTTAAATCCCTTGAGGAAATGAGAACAAAGAAAAACGCGTTTGTCGGACGATTGGGGCTCAGGCTTAATAGAGAGTTTTAGCATCACATTTACGACAAACGGCTAACGGCAAAGCTGAACCAATGACCTACGAATTTCGTGCCCAAACTTGTACTTTTAGTAGTCATTTGAAAGAGCGACTTTTCACGATTATGGAAGCCTCAAAATACAGAAAATAACCCACTCTCGCTTTGAAAGTGTTGGTAAACCCCAAAAAGCAGGTCACGTGATCTTTTCTACCGTTTGAGTTTGAACATCATGCTTAAAGCTCTCTATATCCCATGTAAGCACAGGACTCCATTTTGTAGCGCAAGGCATGATGGGAAATATATCTCAGTTATTTTATTTCAAACAAAATATTCCATAAACCGTTTTTCCGTCTATATAAATATTACTGAATATGTCCAAATACGTGCATACATAAAGAAAATATAGAAATTGATTTTGTTGTTTTTGTGGAATAATTTAGCGCGGCGACTGCAATTTCCTATACTGGAGGTTATAAAGAATGATGTTAAGTTTCTAAAGCCTGATTTCTATTTACAGTCATTACAGCAAACGATGTAAATGTCGGAGATCGTCCCGATCGCATGAAGACAGGACCGCTACGACAGAACAAAATCACGTTATAACTCGATTGAGTCATTTCAATCACGGTTTTGAGGATTTAATGAAATGTAAAGTGCTTTATCTGACAATAGACGTTTTCGCCTGCGGAGCTACTCCACTTCCTACTTTTTTCTTTATTTTAAATGTACGTTTGCTAGTATTTCTACCCAGGTTTACCTCCCCTTCTTGCCTAACAACACCGAAACGTGTCAGTGTGGAAAAAGCCGTGGGATCATCCTACACTTTGCGGATGTAATTGATAACTTTTCGAGACTGTCAAAACATAGAGTACAAATTAAGATATCCAAAAGGTGATTCTCAAAGCACTTAAATTGAAGTGCAAGAGTAGAACAAAAAGCATAAAAAATTAGTGAAGGAAGACACTGCAGCACTGAGCTTTAAAAAGATACTTTGCTTAGAAATAATCTGCGCCGGYGCGCGCCTTTGACATTAAATCATGCAGTTAAAGTGAATCATTTACAATGTATAAAACCGCCAGCTTACGTCCATTATACGCATATTCGCTTCTTTTTTTTTAATGTTTATGCATGAGTTCACCTGTTTAAAACATTTAATTAAAAGCCTTTAGTTTTTATTATTTTTCACTATTCTGACGAATTTTGAACGATAAGATAACACTAGTGGAAAGGTCTTAGACAATAATATTGTTATATCTCGCGTCATCAGTTAAATAACCGGTTGATTTCAGATATTTCAATCGATAAGAAGGGTTTCACTTCTAACTTTATTAATTTTAAGCGTTTTCWTCTGCCAAACARGTTTAGCAATCCCACTTTAAATTTCACTTAGAAATCGAGAAAATTTGCACTCAATTTGCACTACTTTCTTTCGTCTTTTGTATATTTGGTCAGTTTACTAGTCCTTTACGAAGAAAAAGCTATGTTTTACTTAAATCTGTTCATCGCAAGCACAATATTTAAATCATAAATTGCTTTCCAATGAAAGCAATAACAGGCAAATGTTTTTATAAATGTTTTTATAAAAAAACACTCTCTGAAAAAGATTATCAAACATATATAAGTTTTTAATTAAGAGTTATTGTACGTTTGTTATGTGGAAATGATTTCCTTGTAACCTGAGGAACATCGGAAAAAAATAAGTTTCTTTTAAGAAAAAAACATTTCCTTATTTGTCTGCCAAACCTTCAGGATTTCCGTCAGGAATTTCATCAAATCATTTTTCTCATGACATCAGATATATTGCTTTGAATAGATTGTTTATTGTGTATTTTTAGTAACTCTATCTACCATAGAATACAATGGCCAAAACGGAATTCGCGGCATTATTTGACTAATCCAAAATTACTTACTGAATAACCTTACCAAAAGTAGTGTACTGCTAAATTTCCAATAATTTGAAGCTTTCCTGGATTTCTGTAGTCGTCACTTTTCTAGGAGTTTTAACAGTTATTTCAGTGAAATGTCCTCTACCCAATATCCACTTTTACGTCATGAATTAGGCTTTACTTCCCGTCTTTTCAAATCCACAATTCATTAATATTTCGTTTTTGCTATTTTCCTAACGTTGCCTGCGTGGAACTTCAAAAGCAGGCATTAGAATCACATAAGGTTTTGTTTGACCAACAACATCTCAAGACTTACTTTCGTCTAAACAATCTCTCCGGCTGACGTCCTGAAGTTAATTACGTATTTGTTCGGAAGCGTGTTCTGATTGGTAAGATCTTTGCGAAGCTTTTAAACTCAATTGGCTGCGTCTTTGAAAAGTGTTGATTGATAAACAGCAATCTATGGGAAACTGGCGGTAAAATTCATTTGATTCTGTATAAGGTAGAGTGTATGTGAAACCCGTTAAACAGGATCTACTTGTCTTTAATACAGTCAAGGTGTAATAGTCAAATAAACACAAGAAAATCATAATAGGATTTGAGACAACTAAAAAAATAAAACAAAACAAAAAATAACCAACAGTAGTACTCTATTTGACTTAACTAAAATGTTATTTTTGGTATACTTCTAGCTGTATTCTAAAATTTAGGATTGTCTTCACAGTTCAGGCTTGATTTCAATGAAAAATCTTAGCTGAGATAATTTTTCATTCTCCGCCACAAGAAGCGAAGACTTGTAGCGAGGCTGCATAAAATATTCATGGAAAATCATGGGAATTTCGATGTCCAAATTTGCAAAGCACGGCTGTTGCTCTATACATGCTGGTTCGATCAAGCTCTGCTGGAAGACAAGCCATTGATGACTGCTTTCTTCTTTCTTCTTCGTCATTGTTTTATTTTTCCGTCGTTTGCATTAAAAAATATATATATTTCAATCCCTGAAAGCCAGGATTTATAAAGACTCAACGTGAATAGGCGACTGCAAATATAAAGCGCTTTTCATGTAATTCGTACTTATGTCTGTTTATTTCAATTCACTCAATATCAATTCTATTTCAAAGTCAAAGTGAAATTCATTATTAATGTTGTCAAATCCAGGATATAGAATATCGGATAAAGTTAGTCTCATTAGAGAAAATCTCATTACGAATGAAGAGAGATGCCTCATTTGTTTGCACGATATATTGCCTTAAGCCTTGCGCGTAATACCCTAAGCAAATATAGCTACGAAAATAGCGGAATAAAGTACTATTAATAATATATATGTTCAATGGGTGTATAAATGCCGACTTAACTACTACCAATTCCAATATGAAATATTGAACAAAATCGACTCTGTCGGCCATATTTGATGACGTCATCAACATGGCCGCTGTACTAATAGATAAGAAAATTATATAACTAATAAAAAACTAAATATAGCTGAAGATTTTAATCCCTCGAAACGAATTCAAACAGTTGATCGCCAACTTGATGTATTTTATTTTTCTTAACTTTTCTTTGTTTAATCAAAAAGACAAACGCAACTAGATTCATTTTTGCGACGTTTCGACATCCTCTGATGCCATTCTCAAGCAATTTTGAATTTATTACAACTGAAGAGCTATATATACACATGAAACAATAGCGAAAAAACAATAAAATATAAATAATTTTTACATCAACAATAAAAGCCGAATAACATCCAAGAAAATGGCATAACAAAAAGTGGCTCTAGGACGTTTCGCGACGTAAAAAAATGTAACATTTTCAGAAAATAAAAGGCGAACATATTTTTCTCTATAAACATTTATTTCAAGACTGATTGAATGCTGGCAAATCAAACAAACATTTGGGGTGACGGCCGGTTCTCAAGATCAACGTAAAGGTGGCTCTTTGGAGGTTTCGAGCCAACAATTTTGACGGCGATTCCTTCCAAGTGTTCTTGCATCTGATCGAGTTGATCAGATTGAAAATCCAGCTTTTTCCAAATGGATTTGAGTCTAGATAGAAAACAAAGATAAAAATA